TCAACCGGGCCCGGTTGAGCGCCTGGTTGACGCCTCAACCGGGCATCAACCAGGCCCCAACCAGGCCCTGGTTGCGGTGGGATTTACCAGGGCCTGGTTGGCGGCCAACCAGGCGGCTGGTTGACGGCCTGGTTGACCGCCAACCAGACCCCGGTTGATGGCCAACCGGGCACGGTTGGGCGTCTCAACCAGGGATGGTTAGCGACATGGTTGACGAGAACCAAGATATGGTTGGCAGTTAACCAACCTTGGCAGATAGCCTGGTTGCCTCTCAACCAATTACGGATAGGCGGAAAGAAAGGTGGTCAAAAGAGGGTTAGCGGTTGGTTTAGAGCGCATATCTTACAGGAAGCGCTCGTGACGTTGGGTTAAACGGCCGGTTAGGCGGTACCGGCCGCTTAACCCAACGGCCGGTTCGCGAATACATTGGAAACTGCTACTAGGAGAACTTCGTGGGAGTTGGGTCCTGATCGACCAAGCGCTCACTCCTTCCAAGCAATTCAAGTTGAGTCGGATCCTCACTTCTGAAAAAAGCGGTTCTCTCCAGCTTGCGCGCCGACTGCTCTCCTGCCAGCGACGCGCGCACGCCGCGGCTGCGCCCCCGAAGCACGTACGACCAGCTCCGTGTGTGGTCTCTTGCCCCGGGCTCTCGTGCATTGGCTGATGTCGTCAAGGACACGAATCAAAGAAGTCGGAAAAGTGCTCACCTGATCCCAGAGTGTGATCAGAAGTCTGTCTAGACCCTTGCGCTGATCACGGATTTCGATATGGAAGGGAAAGAAGAAAGTAGCAGTCCGGGTACAAATGGAAGCTCCTCTCGAATGTTCGCTGCTCTTTATTTTATCGGCACTGACCTCGTCAAATTCTCCACAGGACCCACCGCGCTTGGACATGCTCCTTGCCACTGGTGGTTGTCGAAAGGGAAATAGAGCAGGCCAGAAAATGTCCTCGGAGATGTTCCAGCAAGCAACCGTCGCAATTGAAGGTGCCATAGCAGAGCGTAGCGCTTACTTCTCCAGACAAAGCTCCCAGAGTCTCAAATCCAGCGCTGTTCGGCTCCTTCCCGGGGTACGTCACGGTGAACAAGAGGCTTCCAAGTTGTCGTCAACAGTAGGAGGAAGTAGAAAAAAGCAGAAGATTGTAATCAAGTGAGGAGAAATCTGTGAAAGTCTTTACAGTAATGGCTGCGCAAAACTGCGACGGGGGTTTGCTTCGTTGGGTTCAGCAAATCCGACTTAAAGTCGGACTTGAAAGTCACCTTCTCGAAAGTTACTCGATACTGATGAATGACGCAAAAATCCCACCGCCTTCTTGTGATCCTCTTGGCTGCCAACTAAAATCGCGCAAACTCGTGATCGGGGAAAGTGTTGAAAGCGCATGGCTTGACAAGGCACGTCAATCGTGATTACCGGCAGATGAGGACCGAAGTCACAATGGTACCAAGAGCAGGTTGACAGGACAGTGTGATAGAGTCCAAGAACGAGGGCCCCAGTTCTCAGCACTGTCTACTCCTATCCTATCCAAGAGTGGGTGATGCTTCAGCAAAAGTCCACATGCTCTTTAGATTGTACGCCTGATCCTATGTACGGCTGCACTGCTCTTGCGGGCCTTGATCGGATGACGGTCGCCTGCGCAGGAAACAAAGCGGAACATCATAAGCCCTGGAAACAAATCAACACACGGAGTACAATCGTCATGCAATTTTTCAAATGTTGCTATCCTCCACGCTCTGGACTACAAAACAAATCTGGTGAATATGTCGGACTTGCATTTCCAAGACGTTTACGAGTGACCTTGAATGCAACGCGTCCTCTTGATGAAAGCATCGACAAGAGAAGCAAAAGAGGAGCCGCCCAAAAGTATGCTCCTTCAGTACTGATGTCAGTGCCGTCAGTACCGTCAGTGCCGTCAGGGGTGAATCTTCCCATTCTTCACAAATTACTCAGAGGCCAATTGAGGACGATTTTGACACAAGCAGCGGGCGTACCGTGCGCGTGCAGGCCGGTAGGGCTAATGGCCACGAAAATGGACGGGCAGAACTGGATCTGCGGGCGACACGGCAAAGAAGGTCACGAAAGTGATATGGGCAAAAGGTCGTGCTGGCTGAGCAGCAGAAAGTGCACAGGGGATAGCACTAGATTCAGCGGACACCGGGAATTCAATCTCGTAGACTGATGATGGCAGAGAGACGGGAGTCGTGAATAGCAAACGCCGATTGCGCGAGCCTGACTGCTTGCAGATTTTGCGAGTTTGAGCTGCGAGGAACCGGAAACCTGCGCAGAAATTGCCAGCAGGCGACTGAGGTCAACCTCGTCGAGTTCTACGCTGCTACTGTTAAAGGACAACACAGTTTCCATATCGCCACAGCGTCCGAATGCCAACTTTTGGTTGTCAGATGTGCTAGCGTGCCCCCGCAGGCGGCAGCAGGCCGTTAGGAGAGCAACCGGACACATCAGGAAGAGAGGACTGTGTGCTTACCTTTCAGTCTTACGACATCCTTTCTTGGGATCCTTGCGTCGTCCCAGCCCTTGAACGCCTCGATCTTCACGACTTCTTCTTTCAGAAAGTGCGCAGCGAGCAGCCCCAGGAGACCTTCGAAGTCGAACGGCCGCAACTTCTGCTTCGAGCAGATCCTCAGAGATTCCACGTAGGACAATAGGGAGGCGCGCGTGAGCTGCAAACGCAGGGAAACGGGGTAAGCTAGGGACTGTAAGAAAGGCGCACCGCAAGACAAGGCACATACAACCAAGACATGCCCTCCGACAATCGGCCTCGATACCGAGGAGAACCGTGCCAACTTTGTGCAGTGCGTATTACAGTGCGTATTACCACCGAAACCTGGAGACCTCAATCTTGACTAAAAACCGGTATCGACTCGGACCTGATGCAGCGTGGTCGTGTAACGTACTGCCCTTTCATATTGCAGTTTTCCGGTGGCCTTCTTGGACGACCTGCGTTTTGCGTTTTCCATTGTCTCCTGACGGCATCTATTTGCCTAGAGAAAGACCGGTCTTCGCAAGCATCTCCAGAATCCCGTCTTTGACGCAGCAATCACCCGGGCAATCATTGAAGCTCGCAAAAAGGGTTGGATAGGTTCAGGGTTTAGGAAACCTTCATCGAGGCATTAGTTCCCGGCTGGTCACCCTTTCAAGAAGCAGCTAAGAAGGCGAGCGTGCAAGTCAAGCTTGAATTATTCGCTTACGGGACCCAACCGCAACTCGGGTCGTGATCATGTTGCCAACCAGACAATTATTTGGATGCCAAGAGAATCTTCGTTCCAACTCACCTTGCTGCGAACTTCGTCCACGGTTGAGGCATCGGTGGCCACAGCGACGATCAGAGCGTGGTTAAACTTCCGAACCTTAGTGAGACCCTCTTCCCACTTCTTCACCTCCTCTTCGTCCCCGTTGCCACCGCCACCGCCGCCCCCGCCGCTGGCCTGCGATTCACCGAGAGTCGGGCTGGAGTCCGCTCCCGGGCCACCAGCCTTCCGCTGCGCAGCGGCGCGGCTGCACCCGGTGCAGGCGAGTGGATCCGGGCAGTCCGCTTTGTGCAGCTCGCGGCGCCAGGTGCCCGGGGGCTTGGCCTTTGCGCGCGGGTGGGTCTCCCTCGGTGGCAGAGGCGGTGCGGGAGGCTTCGGATTGCTTCCGCGGGACTGGTCGGTGCGCGGGGTCTTTGCGGCCAAGTCGGACGGCGCCTCGTTGCCAGCATCGTTGGCGGCAGGAGTGTCGATGACCGGGTCGTCGTGCACCTGCAAGAGTAAAGATCGCCATGCGCGGTGCCAATTGGAACGCAAGTCTCCTATCTCCCTGACTGACTTCAATTCACGAACGCAATACAGACACATAGGATATATGCGATGGTGGAATTTAAAAGTCTCCGCGAGGTCGTCTATCACGTCGTGTAAAGGGTATGACAATGCTGACGCGTGACACTGGCACGTTACATACCAGGGGAAGCGCACTGACGTTTGCGATCCCCTTCCATTCTCCAAGGTCAATGCTGGTTGGTCGAAACGTTTCTCGAGTACGTTCTGCTCGGGTCCAATTCCTGATTGCAATGGCGCTTCAAGTTTGGTCCTTGTCGTGCAATAGTTTCCGAACTGTTCTACAGGTCCTTGAACATACAGCAAAATGTCTGAATCAACAAGCGGTTTCAGAGGCTCCTTTGATGACTTATCTACCATGAGGTTTAAGCCGCGAAAGGCAGAACAATACAGCAGATCGCAACGAGCTGCCTCGTGTTCCAAAATCAGTCACGCTTACATGCTTCAACGTCCCAGCAGGATCATCGGCCGCCGCAACGTGCGTTGCGCCACTCTCCCCTTTGGGACCTCCCGCCTCTGGGGCCTCCTTCGAAACGGGGCCAATTCCGGCAACCGCGTCGTGATCGTCGGGCTGCCAGCTGCGGTCTTTGGAGCCAGGGACTGCATTCGGCCAGTAGACCCGGTCGCCCTGGAGAGGAGGACTTCGGAGTTCAATTCGTGTCTTGAAGGAGAGAAAAGGTTAGAGCTGCGACTCACAGATTCTTTGGTTACTTGAGTACAACAGCAATTCCCTAACCACGCTTGGTTAAAAGGCCCTTAACCCGGTTTCTGCGATATGATTCTCCCTCCACAAGATCCGGACCAGATAAAAGCCAACTTTCGTGTCTTCGAGAAAGGCTTCGGGAACATAGTTGGTGCGGTGCATCTAACTGGAAACCCTTCTCGTCGGCCCAAGTGAGGTTGGTCCATGATCACCTGCTGCAGATTTTCCAGGCGAAGAAGCGCCCGGTCGTCGTCCGCATCCTCCACGCCGCCCGTGACACCCTTTCTGATTTTCTGGATCTGCACGACGAGCTCCTGAGCGTCGAAGCTGCGGATGGTGCCCTTGCCAATGGCCTGTTCTTTGTACAGCAGCTTGATGGTCATGTTCTTTTTCGGAGCTTGGCGCCCTTGGTCATCAGCTCTGGCCACCTGCAAAGTGGTCGACGACGTTTGGAGCATCTGAAATCAGCCATCGGGAGTGCCTGGAGTGGGTGCATCCTCTGACTTTGGCCTGATAACAAACACAATGAGGGCACCCGGCAGCACCCGGAGTTAGACTTGGCACCGTCCACTGATCGAGGGATGGTGCAAAGGGTCTCAGGGCCTACTGTCCTGCTCAAATATCAAATTAAGTTTACTTGTCGTCCTGATGGGGTTAAGCGCACATCAATACACCCTGTTTTCGAAGACTTCTCCACGAGAAAGTCGGAAGGCAGCCAAGGAGCAGAAGGTGGATAGCATCCAACGGGCGACCTTGTGCAACTATGTGCCGAGGACTCCGCATTAGAGTCTGGCCGATTGAAAAGCAGTAGATGCTGTCATCATCCAGTCACAAGCGCGACCAGATACACGCGCACAGAACTTTCAAAATACAAAACATTCAAAAGGAACTCCGCTGACCTGCTTTCGAATTGGGCCGTTTGAAAAGGCGTCGAGGATGATGCCACTTTGAAAACCCTGGCTGAACCCTAACCTGTTGTGGAACGGCTCCTCTTTCAGGCGCAGCAGCTTGTCGGGCGATGTCGTTGTTTATGGGAGATGGTGAGGGGGTGCGGGTCATTTCTGTCGTCGACTTCGCCTGCATTGCGCCGTGGAGAAGCTCCACCAGCGGATCCTCCGCTTGCGTCTGCAGCGCCAGAACCGATCCCCTTAAAATGCTGATGATGCATATTGACGAGTTACTGATCGAATCCTACCAGAACCGAGCTCAGGGTGCTGGCACTACAAGCAACTTTTTGAGGGGGCCTTTCGATCGGTCAAGGGGACAGGCAATGAGAGTATGAAAAGGTATCTGCTCAACAAGCTGATTCACTGTACTTGAACAGGAGGACCCGAGCAGGAAGACGAACAATCAGAAGCGCCGATGCCGCTTTTGCTTTGCACTGGCGATATAGGCTAGAACTGGAGCTACATCTAATCAGGTCTATGAGCCTCGGTGCGAGCCATCAACTGCCATTCCGGTTCGATTTTAGATCAAGCGGGTCCTCTAAGTACACCAGCTGACGCATTCAGTTGTCACGAAGCTTACCGTTGTCCCCCGTGCTAGTCTGGAGGGTTCGTTGTCGTTGGCCGGATCGTGTTCGCGGAGCGGTGCGCGCTGTGCAGGACTCCTTTCTGGAACGATTGGGTCGTCACCATCTAGATTCAGAGGCAGGGGCGGCGCATCACGGCGTCTCTTGATGCTTCGTGTAGACGTTGCTGGTGACGTCACCTCCTCTTCCTAAAAATGCAAAAGCAGACGTCCGTTTTGTAGGCGCTTCACGTCGTTGATGTGATACAGCATTCTGCTGGTGGCGGTTAGACGAAACAAGGCACTTTGGTCCGCCAGCACTAGTTCAGAGTTGTACGCATGGCATCAAACAAAAAGTTTGCCGATGATGTCACTTGCCGTTCTGCTGGGGAACCATTTCCGCCGCAAACACAGTCGGTCATCGTTTTCGAATGAAACTGTGAGCCATACAACAATCAACAGCAAGCAGCCATCAGCGACAACCAACCGTAAGTTGCGCCAAATCAAAAGGCTCCGCGGCCTTTTTGCACCATCATCATGCATACCAGCATACACACGAAGAGTTTAAAGTTTAACCAAGTCAATTGAACCTTGGGTTACTTAAACCTTGGGTCTACTAAACCTTGGGTCAAAGATGCCCTACAAACAAACAAAGCTGGTCAATAGCTTGTGAGTTACCCCTTAACCAGACTTGCTTAGAAAATGTTTTGAATTTCTCAGAACTTTGATAGCTCCAAAGCTCGCACTTATTGCTAGGCCAACCATCTCACCTCCACAGCGCGCTTCAGGGACACACCACTCGAACGTCCACGTGTAGACTGGCTCAATGTGCCATTGCTTGCTGCAGCTTTGCTGGACGATGTGACTTGGGGCGGCAGCTCGGTGTAAGGAGTCCATGCAGTGATCTTGTTGGGCCAGCTCACAATAGAACCCTGTGACAAACGAGCCAAAGGATCCACTTAGTCAATCTAGTTAGGTAGATCTAGTTAGCTAAAGCCAGTTGATTGAAAAGGAGATCAACTTATCGAAAGGATTCAGTCAGTCAAAGGCAAATTTCAATTGCTTGGTCAACCAAGTGTCATGGTAACATAAGCGGAGAAAGGCTACAAGTGCAGCCTGCGAGGCTCCTGAACCATCTGACACACAAATAGACAGACCTGAATCCTGCAGAATCTGACGAGGAATAACTCAATCGAGGAATGATTCAGGGTTGCAAAACATTCAGACCGGATAGCTTTACCTTCTGCATCTCCACCGTCTCAATGGTGCGTCCGCCACCCAGATCCAGCAGGTCGTCTTGTACTTGCTCCACCAACACCAGCTCCACCTCAACTTCTCTTTCATTGAAGTCCTGCACTCGCCCTACTGCCACCCTCTGTGGCCGTTTTCCTCCCTTTCCGTCATCGCAAAGGCTCCACAGGCGGATCTCCGCACCTTCACACAGCGTCCGGTCCCCTTTCCTTCGGGACTGCATCACCTGAGCAAACCAAATTGATACAGGTTTTTCTTTCAATAGCTAAAAGAAGACATCATCCTGTCAAGACATCATTCTGTCATGGTGTCCCTTGAGAAGCCTCAGGAAGCGGTGACAACCAGGCCGGTTTGGATGACTAAAAAAGCGCTACCCAACTTCTGACTCCTAGCGGCGAAGGGCTGTGTTCTGACTACCACTGTATCACCACCTAAGCAGAGAGCTCTAGTCAGGTCACAGATGAGTACTACACACTTGAGCACCGATTGGGTCTGAAAACAGCACACTGGTTCTCTTTCACTGCCATCCAACCCGTTAAATCTGTTCCTCTGTACAGACGCCAAAAGATTAGCTGTCAATGTGACAACTCACTCCGACGCTCTTGCGGATTTCACGGCTGATGTCCCAGCTAATCATCCCCTTGATGCGCCGCTCTTCTCGGTTTGGCCTCCTCTGTTCAGTAAGCATTGCAGATAAGGTCTCGTGCATCAATCCTGCATGAATGTGAAGCGAAGGCTCTGATTCCAAATCATCATCAGATTGTTGTTGCAAAAGCAAGTCTTCAGAGTGGAAGATCTTACGAGCTTCTCTCATAAGATCCACAATGCAATCATGATCTCATCCTAAAAGCAAATTAGCAATTCTCAAATGTACACTTTAAAGATCCTCTCTTGCACTCTGGAAAACATATTGCAAAGTCTTACTTAGCTGTTAAGTTTCACTCCAGAATTTCACAGCCATTCCTGTAGTACAATCTTGTGTGCGTTAACTTCAACATCTAACTTTGTGTGAAGCTTTCACAACATGTGGATTGGTAGCTCATTGATGGAACAGACAGCAAACAAAATCACCTTGTGTGCTGGTGCAAGATAATATCCAGTCTGAGAAGATGTTAGAAAAGAAGAATGACAGCCAGTGGACCAGAAGGTCATTACAAACTTACTTTGAGGCCACGTGAACGTCTTGCCTCCAGCTCTGAACCTGCCGCCATTGGTCTCCTGCAGAGTCTTGGAGCAGACGTCCTCTCTGATTCTGAGTCCGGTCGGATCTTTTGCAAAGTTTATTGCTTTGTAGGCCTCCTCGCTCAATGCAGAAAGCTCATCGTCAAAGTTCCGCTTGAGAGTGCCAAACATTCGCCGCAGTTCTTCACAACCACCTTTCCCAATGAGGGGGACTAGATCGTCATTACGACTCGTCCGCTGGAAGACAATGTCATCAGACAGCTCTGCCAAAGTGTCAGGAAGCCATCTTGCATGTTTACTGCCTCCAAAGGTCTCAGAGCCCCCTGCAGAACCAGTGCTGCCAACGGACTTCTTCTTCCCTCTTGCTTGTGTCAAACCCCGACGGCGTGCTGAGCTGCTCCCAGACTGAAAACTTTCAGATACTTCTGGCATCAAAGCATCTTGCATCCTTTCGAGCAGGTTTTCAAGCTTTGCCAGATCGCCTTCCGTGATCTTCTCCCCAGGCTTCCCATCGCTATCGTAAGTGCAGAACCTTTCTAGCCGCTCGGGTTTCATTCCAGTGAACGCTCTGGCATCAAGCTTCTGCTTGATTACGTACTGACGGAACTCATCAGTAGACAATTCTCCCTGGATAGCATCTGCTACGTCGGATGCAGTGCTTGCCTCTGTTAGATCCATCGCTGAAAGTGCTCAAGGAACAAACAAGAGAATTGAAATGGGTGGGTCGTTAGGGTGGGAGCGAAAAAACCTAGGCAGGGCGCCCTGGCGCCTCAGAAGCTCCTCTGAGCTTCGGAGAGAAGCACGACTTGACTTCGAGTTTGACGCAGGATGTGCTCCAAGTCAGTGCGATTACGACTTCAATTCTGCTGCGATGCAGATGCCTGCCAATCGAATATATTCCTATTAATGTCTTAGCTCGGGGCTTGAAAGCGTTTTTCGAACCCCAAAAAGCGTTTGAAAAACGGTTATAAACGTTCATCAAACACCGTTCTTACTGCTTATGGCAATTGAATATGGGTATTGGCTGGTAATTTACGGGTTAAGTTGACCGAGTTATGACTCTGAGCGAGCTTCAATGCCGTCGAAGCTCGGCCGTCCGATACGAATGCTCCAGATCGGGCCAATCAGAGAGCTGTCCACTATCTGCGCACGGCAGTCTGCGTTCGACTTTGGCAACCCAACCGGTGGGCCGCGCCAAAACTTTAAAATCGAGTGCTCGCCTGCGCAGATGCGACTAAAGTGCTGCTGATACGAAAAACAACCAAGCAGCCGTCCTCCGTTTTCAGATACCACTTTTCCATGTTCCGAGTGGCTTGGTTAAGTATGCCTAATTAAGCCCTGGTTAGGGCTCCTTGACGGGTAAAATATGGCCTACGTTGACCGCACATAGGACTAACTTCGGCCCGAATTAAGTGGAGCAACGTGCAACATGGCTGAAATGTGCCGTATTGGTACTCGGTTATTTTTCGACACCGGTTAAATTCAGAAAAGTTTGGCTCTAACCAAGTCGTGATACTAGCAGTATGCTGCAAACGTGCTCTATGGTTTAGTGCCCAACCAGGCGCTAACTCAATTGTGAAGTTGCAGGCGGCGACTCGGGCGAGCTTTGCATCCAATGAAAACGCTCAAATATTCTACGTGAGTATGAGCACAGATGGTATTGGTATCATTTCTAGGGACACCGCATGCGGCATGCCGCATGTCGCAGCGGGAGTGCGCTGAGGCGTATTGAACCTTCATGAGTTGCCTGTGCAGTTCCCCTTCAAGTTCCTTTCTATCATCTAGCATGGGACACTTTTGAGGAGAGCAGTAGAAGAGCAGTCCTAAGGATTTCTGACTTCAATCTGCCCCTTATTTTTTAAGCAAATTGGGCCACGCTTAAGCATTGGGGGGTAGCCATGAGCAGCAAAACGTATGTCTGTAACTGTTTCTCAAAGGGTTGCGGAAGGCGAATCGGTGGTGTGCATTGGAAAAGCAAAAACACGCCTACGCAGCATCGTGCAAGGGACCTTCTGATCAACCAGACATGGGGTTTCCGAGAAGATCACACTTTCTTTGATGAAAGATTTGAGCCTGAAGGCAGTGTAGAGCTGCCGGACAACAATGCCGCGCGAGTTGAAGCCGTCGGAGAGGCCGCAGATGCTGACGAAGATGTTGCTGAAGAACAGCTGGCTGAACCGTCTGATCAAGTGCTCAATGAATTAGGGCTTGAGCAGCAGCAACAAACCTGCAGTCCAGCTCTGCTCGCACGGTTGGCGGAGCTTGTTGAGTACGGTAACGAGCATGAGTTCAGCAACAATGACCTGGACTGGCTTCTGAAATGGAGTTTGGCGCCCGAGAAGTCGGTGGCCGTTGCGATCGATTCTGAGTGGAGAGAGCGAGTGCGGCAGTCTCCTGTGCCGGATTCATTTGCGAAGGTGAGCCTGAGACTTTGACACTTTCTTGGAAGATGTGCGAGTTGTCATCGTGCTGCAGATGTGACTTAAGCGTCTCAATTACTGTTCCTTCTGACAAGATTCTTTAGGAACACAAAGAGGAAAAATGTCTCAGGCAGAACTTCGAGCCCAAGACGACAACGGCGCTGATGCTGTGGTGGTGCTGTGGTGGTATCAGGACTCATGAAGCTACGTATCTGTACTTCTTGACACATCCTGCTTTGCTGTTCTCAGTTGGTGTTGTCTATTCAAAGTTCAGTGGGAATGCAAGCCTAGACAGGACTCTCGTGGATTGCACTAAGTTGGAGTCGTAGAGGGATACTTCTTGAATTCCTCAATGCTGCATGCAAGTGATCGCTGCTAATGAGCCTGTGACCGCCAGATCTGCATTGAAATCGTTTTTACAGGTAAGCTGCAGACAAGCTGCTTCTCAATTACCTATTGTACATGCGTTCCTTTGTTTACATGCTTTTCCTTTCCGTCTGCAGCTGATCAGCACTGTCCAGGGTGCCGGAGAGAAAATCGGCGGCCCGGAGAGCTGGAGGTTCTTAGTCGAAGAGGACAACACATGGCACGTCTTCCCACCGCTCGCAGATGCTGCTGCTCCGTGCCCTCTCTGTCCTCCGGATCAGCGCCCGCGGCGCAAGCGGGAAGACTGCGAGGAGCATCAGCCCCGTTGCGACTCCTGCAACGTTGCGCGCAAGGACTGCAAGGAGTTCGTCTGGCTCGGTCATGCACCTCACCTAAGGGCGAGCATGGTCACGGAAGTGGGGTGCCGAAGCTTGCTCGGTGCTTGGTCCCAGAAAGAGCGTTGGCGGGGGAAGGGCCGGGAGGAGGCGCCGGAAGTGCAGCATGAGGTGTGGGACGGGGAGGTCTTCCGGGAGCACTCTGCATTTTTGGATCCGGAAAGAGAGTTCACGCTCCCCTTGGCCTGCGAGCGGTGCAACGAGGAAAGGGAGTTTTACTGCAGCCGGCACTTGAAACTCCCCAGCTTTGTCTTGGTTGAAGAGAGCAAATGGAATGAGGCGGAGCAAGTGTATGAAGTTGTCTGCGAACGGTGCGGGGGGGACATGCGCGCTTCTAGGGAGGAGCTCTACATCAAGGGGGATCCCCGAAACGTGCCGGTAATGCCCCACTTTGACGGCTTCCAGGCGTCAAGCACCACAGGCCGCCTTGCTGCGATCCTGGACTTTCAACCGCTAACTGTCTGCAAGGAGGAGAGATTGCACCTGCGGGAGCATTGGGTGTGTCCTTTAGCCTTCCCCCCTGTTGAAGACCTTGGCTCAGGCGTCGATTTCCTCGACCCCGTCATGTGGATTTTAACCCTTGAATACATCCGGCTTTTCATTAAGGGGCTCCGGGTTGAGTACGCGCTGCCATCCAAGGAGGTGGACCCCCGTTTGCCCCACAGCCCGGCCGGGGGCACCGTGCTGATTAGAGTGATGCTGCTGGCATTGGTCGCAGACTTCCCCGGGCTTGCAGAGCTTCTGAAGTTTGCTCAAGGGGGCTACAATGCATCACGGCGCTGCAAAAAGAGGGGGGTCTACGAGGAGGCGCTGCGGAGGGTGGTGTACGCAGAGGCAAGGTCCAACGCGCGGTTCCCTTGCCAACCAAGAACCATTGAAGAGATCTTGGAAGCGGCCACTCGGCACCGCTTTGCCGACTCTCAAGCGGAGCGAGACCGGCTGACCACGGAGCTGGGGTGGTCCGGGTTCTCCTTTCTCCTCCTTCTAGTCAAAGTGTCCCGTTTTAACCCCCCCAGAATGACCCTCAGCGACCACATGCACCGGGGGGCCCTGAACCTCGTCAAGAACTGGATCAACGACACGTTGATGCTGGCCGGGGGGGAGTACGCAAACAGGGGGAAGGACATCGACGAGAGGGATCCCCTTCTCGGGCCAGTGGTGGAGCTAGAAGACTTCGGGGAGCGGCTGTCGCGGATCTGGCCGACGCGCGAGCTTAAGAGCGGTCGGTTTCCTGTGGAGCCCGGGTTGAAGAAGCTCGGCTACTGGAAGGCGGAGGAATTTGAAAAGTTTGCGAGGGTGTGCGGGGAGGTTGTGTACGCAGGTTGCATCGACGCAGAGGGCTTTGTGATTACGAGCCTGGTGTGCAAGATTGAGCAACTCGTACATTTGGCGCACAGGCTGGGGTGGAGTCAGGAGAGAAAGCTGCTTTTCGAGGCTCTTTGTTTGGCGGTGTTTGTAAGGATGGAGGAGTACTTGGGGACAAAGCAGAGGCCGTTGGCGCACGACCTCGGTCGGCACTCTGTGGAGGACATCAAGACGCACGGCAGCCTGACCGCCTTCTGGGTGTGGGCGCAGGAACGGTACGTGAGGCGGTTGGTCCGCACTCCGACCAACGGCAGGCAAATGGCCAAGACGTACGCCAAGCGAGAGCACAGGGGGCTAACGAGCCGCTGCCTCAACCGGCGGCACCGGGAAGCGGAGCTGAAAGAGAAGGGGCTGAACGGGGCAGATGCAGTCTGGGCGCTCGCGCGGAAGGAGTTTGAAGGTCTTGTGTTCGTGTTGGGCCAAGAGAGCGCCTTAGAAATTACCCAGAAAATTCCCTGCGACCCCCCTTCCGTTGCAAAGCTAGAAGATCCGGCCATTCTGCACAGTGTAGAAACGGAGGGGGTAGCAATCGGAAGTCTTCCTAAAAACTGGCGGATCTCCTCGTACGAACTCCTCGGCCCTGTCAAGCTGCCAATCGTGGACGCGATCGTGCGGCAGTGTGGCGGCTCCAGCCTGGCGCAAGGGCGGAAAGGCCCTGCTCGAGTTTTGATAAAGAGTTTAACAAGGGGCCGGGCGAACTATTCTGCTTCCGACTTTGTCATTGTGGCTGGCGGGGGGGGCGCAGAATCCGAGCGGTTCGGCAAAATTGAGGCCGTTTACGTAGTCAGGGATGAGGACGGCCAGCACTGGCCGCTAATGGACTGCACATTCTTTGAGATCCCCCTCGACGAGAACGGTCGACGGATCGGGGCCCCGTGGCACAACAAGGTGCAGCTCGGGTCCCTTCAGCAGCTGCGGCCGGATGGAGTCTGCACCGCCCGGGACGTCCTGCGCCACTTTATCCCGTACCCGGAAGAAGGCCACACGCCGGCTTCGTCTCCCTCGAACATCGTGATTGAGATCGCACCGCCTTCGCTGGGCTTTTCGGCGAGCGATGTGAAGGTGCCCCTGCATATCGAGGTGAGGGTTGGGCTTGCTCAAAGCAAAATTGTGCTGGAAACAAAGAGCAGTGACGTTCGCCAGTCTTTGTCGTTTGACAGATTGACATTCTTCGAGTTCTGATCAGCTTGTTGTCGTGCGGCTGCTCAAGAAGCGGTCAGTTGCTGGCCATCTGGAATCGTCTCTTTTTGGGTGATAGAAAGGAAAGATTTACGCTGAGCCCCTTGCCTCACATGAACGTCGGCGGCCAAAGATGTGTACGTCGAGAAATTTTTGCAGACCGTCCTGCTTTGGCATCTCGAACTGCCTTCGTAGTCGAGCATTTCCGTGAGTTTGGAAAAGTCTGACAAGTATAGAAAGTATAGGGCACGTTCTGATAGCAGCTGGTGCCTGCAGCTGCCAATCTCAGCCCCTCATTCGGGATTCTCAGACTTGCTCAGTTCAAGAAGGTGTGCTCCAAGTTCGGGTGTGAATTCCACGGCTAAATCTTTCTTTCTTGACGAGCAGGTTGGGGACGTGGTGCGCGTCGCGTCGGACAGTGCGTCTTTCGACCCTGCCGATGCGCCGCAGGATGACAACACCTGGGAGTCCGAAGTTCCAGTTCCCTCCCAGTGCATCCTCAAGACGGTGGGCCCGGGGCAGGTCGTGGACTACGCGTGGGTTGTGGATGTCGACACAGAAGACAAGCGGGCGGACCTGGTGTACCTCAGGAAAGTGAGCGGCGGAGTCGACGAGCCCCAGTGCTGGAAGCTGTGGCGTGACTACGCCAACTTCGAGATGGGGTGGGACGACATCTTGGACAGAGTGGGCGGCGTCCGGGAGGAAGGACGGGGGGCAAACCGCCGGTTCTACTTCCAAGCGATGCCACCCATACTTCGTATCTAGAGGTGAATTTACTTGCTTTGCCTCAATGATCTTTTCTCTTGCAGAGAGTTCTGTCAATTAGATCCGAGGACGCTGAAGCGCTGCATGGCCGCTGGCACTTCACGTTATTTGGACGAGCTCAAGAAGTCTGCTTGTTTCGGTTCTCGAAGCCTTTTGGAAAATCATCGCAGTCGGCTTTAGATTTCCTGGATCTGAACGATCGGGGGGGCGGAACAACAGCAATCAATCGAGAAAGCTTCAACTTGCATTCTGGTCTTATTGAGTTTATTTTGTTCCATATGCCTTGTTCGCTCCTTCCAAGCGATGTTTGTAGTCGACTTACGGAGGTGTCGACTCGATACTGACGACCGTCCTTTTCCTGGTGCACAGCTCGTCCCCGATGCAATTGCAAGCCCGCGGAACATAAAATCCCCCGGTCGCCCCGAACCGGGTACCCCGACCCCGCCCCCGAACTCCGCTCTGACCTCTCCCCCCCCGGCTCCCAGCGCTCTTGCCTTTGCCCCACGCCAACAGAAACGGCTCCCCGACTCTGCCCCACGCTCCGCTTTTGCCTCTCCCCGGACCACCAAACCGGCTCTCCAAAACCCCCCAACACCGCTCTGGCCTTTCCCCCGGTCACAAGAACGGGCACCCCGCCCCCACCCCCAACGACCGCTCATTGCCCCCAGCCTCGACCGCCGCTGTGGCCTCTCTCGCGAGCAATCGAACCGGCTCTTGGACCCAGACCCCAACCAACCGTTGGCCTCTCTCCCCGGTAACCAGGTCCAACTCCCTGGTCCCGCCCCCGATTGCCGCTCGACCTCTCCCCCGGTTGCAAGAACCGGGTACCCTGATCCTGTGCCCGACCGCGCCCTGGCATCTCACCCCAGTCCCAACAACCCCGCGGGTCCCCGCCCCTGGCTCCCCGACCTCGCCGCCGACAACCGCTCTGGTCCCGCCCCCCTTACCGCCGTTGTTCTCCACCACCTGCGCGCCGCCAACGACGGCGCCGTCATCGACGCCATCGTCTACCTCAGCCGCCAAGTCTGCGGACACGTCAGCGAGGTGGGAAGTGACAATATCGAAGGGCTGGAGCCACCGGCAACGCAAATTTACCAGCTGGAGCGCTACGTCCGCAAGGCCACCGCCGTGCATAAGGTGGGCGCGCGGCAAAGAAGCGACAAGTGCACGTTCGGAAGCTGTCTCGAACCTCACTGGTAGCCCGCCGCGAGTCTTGCTGCGAAAGATTGGGCGCTTCCTCTGCGATCAGAACGGCTCGGTTAGAATCTAACGTGTTCTTCTTGTTTCTTTTGGCAGGTTGTACTTATACAAATCGCGTCAGCGGCGTCGGCCTAAAGTAGGACAGTAGGGCTAACGATGCAGCAACACGCTATTGGTAATTATCTACAAACAGACTTCTGTACTGGGCACTTGTGTTGTATCTTGGAAGCAGCTCCTCTTGAAGGCTTCAGAAGTACTTGCCTGAGCGTTTAGCACTTCCAAGTTGCGATCCTGATCGTTGTCACGCGTTACATCCGTCTTCCTGGTCGGACAACTTGAACGTATGAAGTCCTTTTCTCGTATCTGCTGAAATGGTTTCCGCGGTTCTTGGCAGTCCATCTTACCAAGATTGAAGCGCTGACTGGCAAGGCTTTTTGGGGACACCATTTGTATATTCTGCACTTCGTCTACTTCCAGGAAGGCTGCAACTTGTGTTGGTATTGCTGATTTGCCTGGTTCGAGTGGTTTGAGTGCTTCTGAGCAATTTGCTGACTTTCTTGAGTTTCACTCCTGTTTCTCGGTAAGAAACATACAACCTGGTGACGGTGCATACTGCCCGGTTGATCTGGCGGGTTATCTTTAACGATTGTACACATTTTCCCGTTATCCTCAACCAGCGATTAACCAGGCGTCAACCAAACGCTAACCGCACTCTGGTTGGGCGTCAACCGGGCCCGCCCCGGTTGACGGCCATCCGTGCTCTGGTTGAGAATACCGTCAACCAGACCTGCCCGGTTGACGATCAACCGGTCATGGTTGACGTCAACCAGTCCTGGATGAGAGCTCTCAACGAGGCCCCGCCCGGTTGACGGTCAATCATACCCCGGTTGAGGCCCGTCAACCAGGCCGGGTCTGGTTGGCGCCTGGAAGTCTCTGGTTGGCGCTTGGTTGAGAGTCCTGGTTGAGTGCGAAAGTGCCCTGTG